AGAGCTACTAGTCATTTTTTTGTTTTCTATTTCTTCTCTCTCTCTCTCTCTCTCTCTCTCTCTCTCTCTCTCTCGCACGGCAGTATTGATTGAGGCGAACAGCGTCAGGCGGCGACACACGGCAGCACACTAGATTGCCCGGACGGTGTCATGCCTGTGCTTTGGGTTGTCTGTCTTTTGTCTAGGCGCTTCAGCCGTTGGCAAAGCAATTTTTTTTTCTACTTTTCTTTCCCATCACCCATCCCCCTTGTCAACTCCCCGGAAGGGCCCCAGCACGGCGAATGCCTAGTGCGGAGGGGGGGGGCTTGGATCGGTCATTTATTACGGCGATGTGCGTGTGCCTGCAACCGTGCGCCCGCCTGCTCGCGGCGACCACGGGCTTCATACCTAGAGCTGGTGGTTTTTTTAGGTTGCTTTTTTTTTCTTCCTTCCCTGCTCGGAGAGAGCGCGCGGGGGGGAGGAGAAGGGGGACCTGGACAAACCTTCTTCTGTTTTTTTTCTGGCAAAATCCTTGCATCGAGCTTCATCCTGAACCTTGGCTGGTGCTCGATCTCTTCTTTGGGCAACGGACCTGCAAGAGGAGGCACAAGCCCCGTTTTTTTTTTTTTTTGGAGAGAGCTGGAAATGCAACATGCGTTTGCGAGGGTCAAGCGTGATTTTCTCTGCTTAGTATAGGGGAGGCTAGATGGTCTTCTTTCTCTTTCCAATTCGGTTCTCCTCGCTCAATGTGCATCCTTGGTAGAGAAAAAAACCCAACAGGGGCAGTAGCTCTATACCTGAAGCAACGTGTTTGCGCGGATTTGAGGGAGGGGTGTTGAACGGCCCTCACATTTTGTGCCACGGGTTCGGCAGCAACCAGGTTCATCCTTGGGTTTGGCAGCATGAGAGAAGCAGAAAGAAAAAAGCCGATCGCCGCAAGCAAATCACAATAGACCATTGCGTGCTTTGTGCTAGCAGTACATAGCAGGACCTACACCACCAACCAGGTAGGGGAACACAAAAAAAAAAAAAAAAGAGAAAAGGACGGAGTTGGGCCATGTTGCCCGACCGAGGTGGAGATCCCCCCCGGAACTTTCCATTCCTCCCTTTTCCCTCCTCAACCTGCCACGCTAGCACACTCTTCCGCGATAGGAGAGCTGCGGGAGGCGGGTTTGAGTGCGCTGGCACTTTTTTTTTTTGTGTCCCTCCCTTGGGGCCTGACGTGCTAACCTCTAAGCGTGCATCCATGGCCGGACTGGGCTCCTCTCTCGCCTCACCATGTGCTCAAAGTAGGCATGTTGGGAGGACAGAGTTTAGCGTCTTGTTGGTCTCTAGCCTGCATCTTCCTATTTGGTGCTCCCGCATGCGAAAAAAAAAGCCGTACCTAGGGTATTACTGCTAGGCTGGGATTAGGAAGGAAAAAAAAAAGCCAATGCCTCAATCGTTATGGTTATGGGATGCCCAGCACACACAGGCGCAACTCTGCTACCCGCGCCAAGCTCTCCTGCTACGGCTTTTGTCCGGCGACGGCGCCTCTGCTCATTCTACTTTCTCTCTCTTGCAGCATAAGTCGAGTGAGCCCTGCCGGTGGGGCGGTCTTGTTGGTGTCCAGGGTGCCTGGGCACAAACGAATGCCTTGGACACAAAACCTTGCCTATGAATATCGTACATAACGGTGGATACCGGACGAACAAAATACTTGGCCATGGCATGTTGGCCTTGCGTCTTACTACATAAAACAGAGAGACAGAAAAAAAAGAAGAAGAAACTGGATGAGCGCTGTACATGAACCGGTTCATGGCACGTCGAGTGTGTGGCATATAATCACTCATGCCAAGACCGCCACTAGAAACCAACTCGGCTTCCTACTCGCCCGTTTCTGCACTTGTCGTGTGTTGCTCATCATTGGCGGCCAAGAAAGGTGGTGGTGTTGTGGCAAGAGGGAGGGAATTGCAAGGAGAAGAGAAGACTGGCCCCGAGGCGAGAAACGTCTGGTCCTAGGTTGCCGCGAGCGTTACGCTGTGTAGGATGTTGCCGATCTCGACAAAAGCCTGGGCCTTCAGACAGGTTACCAAGGTACGTTATATTGCGGCCTTAGTCTTTTTTTTTCTGTCGAGCCAATACCTGCACATACTGCTTGCACGGTTTATTAGCTCTCTGCAACTTGCCTTTTTGGGTAGGTTGCAAGCCCGTGTTTCAGCGGCGTCTTTCTCTGCCGGGCCCTCCCAATCTATTCGCGTCCCAGGTCACGTGTACATTACGTACGTACGGGGGATGGAGGAAGGCTGTTATGGACAATCACTCAACAGAATGGGCCCATGTCCGGACGGACGGGGTTTCCCATCCTTTGTTTCCCTTCAAGGTTCAGTTTCCCATCTCTCCCAAAAGCTTCCGGTCTCCGTGTGGAGATGACAGGGAGTACCGTTGCCTGCAAGGGAACGTGTTCTTGTCTCTGTTCTGCTCGTGTGTGCGTGCGTGCGTGCGTGCGTTTTTTCTCTCTCTTACTTTGCGCCAATTTCTGTCTGCATCACCCCAGGCAAGTTCCCAGTAACGAACGGCGGCGTGTTCGCGCCGGACTGGGGGATCTGGTGGGCGCAGCGCCGAGAAGCAGAGAAAAGAAAAACAAAAAAGACGCAAAGGCGGACATGGATCAAGGCCCGCAGAACTGCCGGGCTGGGTGAGTGGAAAGCAAACAATCGCGATGGCGCTGTGCAAAAACAGTGCTGCTGGACAGAGGTCCCCAAACCACCCGTTTCAAAGCCTCCCACGGTAATGCCTGTGGGCGGATATTCCGGGAACCGGCTTAGCCCCAGCCCTCCCTCTCAGCCGCCGCGCGCCGCCGACCCAGAGGTTCCCCCTCGCCCCTTCTCATAGCATTTCTTGCATTTCCCTCCATCCCCCGTGGCCGCCATCATGCGTCCTTTTGCCTTTTTGCCTAGGCATATACACACACACACACACACACACACACACTCGGAGCAAACAGCACGGTTCGATAGCCTATAATAAAACCTCCCTCCCCACCAGGCCCAAGGGCAGGATCCTGTCCACGTCTCAAGTCTCGCCCCTCCCTTCTCCTCAGCACTATCGGGAGGTAACGACGTCTGCCAAGCTCGGCAAAGCGCCGAATCCGAAAATCGAGAAACGGAGGAGGAAATAAAAAGCGAAAGCAAAGCGGGACCCTACGGTTTACCCGATCCGCCTCTGCACGCCGCACCTGGTACCTTGCTTCGTCCGATGCCGGGCAGGGGGGGAAGGAGGAGGAAGAGGATGACGACTGGTGCAGTCAGGGCCTTGGCGGTTGGATTCTTCCGGACGGACGAGTGTCAGACTGGTGATGCCAAGGGGCTCTGTCTTTCCTGCCTGGCTGCCTGACCATGGCCGATAGCCTTTTGCTACCTTGTTGCTTTGTTGTGCCCAGCTGAGAACGGTGATCCCCTGCATTAGGCAAAGTTTGTTCTTGGGTGGGATGAGGAGCAGCACAAGCACAGCCCGTCAGCCCGCAGCCTGAGCATGTTGTAGTAAGAAGGGAAGGAAAACGAGGCGACGAGAGAAACATGCAGCCGCGTTGTGCACTTTGTTGCTTGGCCCGAAGGCGGCACGGCAGATTTTTTTTAGTCTTTGCAATTACGTGCTTGAGACATGCAAGGCTCCCAGAGTTGCACCTCGAATATGCACATTTGATGTTATTTCTGGCCGATACGAATGCGATAATCCCACCGTGATATTGGTACTGGCCATTTGGTAGATTTACATGTCAAGCCACCTCCGGACATGACCGCACCTTTCTCTCTTCACCCATCTCCCGCCGCAGAGTTTCGGTGACCCTGCATCATGTCCGCCTGGCCTGTTATTCCCTTCCCATGCAGTCTGTTCGAGCAGGTCAAGGGAGGATCAGACCCCGAGTATCACACCAGAGCACGGCGCAGAGCCTGCGTCGTCCGTTTGCGCCAGGGACGGTCAGTCAGTCACACACGACCCATCATCCCAGAGAATGAGGTGGTGCGACCAGGGGGGATAGAAATTTCTTTTCTTGTCCCCCTTGGCGAGGCCCCAGCATTACGACATGAGAAACAACAAACGGCACACACGGCCGCAAAACAAAGAAGGCGGTGGACGGTTCCAGGCCGGCAAGGCGAAGAAGAAAAAAATGGCAACAAAGAGCAAGGGCCTCCAAAAAACTCCACAGGGACAGCTCAGCAGCGCATAAAGGCTGAACACATCACTCAGCCGTGCCCACTGTGTCCACTGTGCCCGCTGTCTCCACTAGGGGGTTCCGCCCGCCGCTGCCCGGCTTTAACACCCGCTAACAGGCTTCTATGGGGCAGCTGGCGGAAGCGTGTTTGCGGTGAATTAGGCCCCCGGCAATCTCCCGAGGTGAGGGGGGGGAGGGAGAGCACAGGGGAGCTGACACTGCGACTCTGCACGCTGCGGGAGAGCTATGCCCGTCAGGGTTTAGCTTGCAAAACCGCGCGAGGATGAGGCCATTGTTGTGGGTTGGGGCGGGTCCGCTCCCGCCCGTTGTTGCTGCCAAGGACGGAAGGAGGGGCAAGAACACCAGGGGGAGGGGGAAAGCGTGAGGGAGAGTGAGAAATCTCCCTTTCTCAATCCCAAACATAACATGCCATTTTGCTCATTTTTTTTTCATTCCACTCTCTTACGCACGGGCAATTGGGAAAGCAAGAGTGGGGACCTCGACAATGAAACTTGAAACTTTGACCTTTGCCGTTCTGCTTGTTTTGCCGGTTCCCGCCCCTCCGACGATGCGGCCTTTTGCATCTGTCGGTCATGATTCGATTTTGCTGCCCGGCACTGGCCACTCTGCCCACCCTCTGCCGCCGCCTCCCGCCTCTCCTCTACACAGTACACTCTTCCCTTCCCGCCCACCGCCTGGCCTGGTCTCGGACGGATCGACGCCGGGGGTCGATGGTTCAGCAGAACCAGCAGCCACCCGACCCAGAACTCCCGCCCGTTCCCGTTCTACCATGCTCCCGCCCCCAAAGTGGTGCAACCCCGTGTGTCATGAACCAGCCCGTGTGTGCTCCCACGTCGGACCGCGGCGGCTGGCACACTGGACTTCCAACGGCAGCGGGGAACGTGCGAGAAAATGGGCACATGTGTTGCTGATCGCGGAAGGCGGAAGACGGAAGACGGAAGCCGTCGGGCTCGCCCACGTCCTGCTCCACACCCCAGATGCTCCCAACCCCATCGCTCCGGTACTTGCACGCCTGCAGTAGCCTGGATCTACCACCCTCTAGTGGGGTTTCTGTCGCGCGGCCGGCAGTTGTCAAGTGGGAAAAGGGGCGCGTTTCGCCGGGCCACTGTCACAGTGTGTTGTGTAGTGGTGCCAGTGGGGGCCATCACTAGCAGTGTTACAACGCGCCGAGCAAGTGGTTGGACGTTAATCTGCCATGATATGCGTGATACTCGAGAATCTTCTCAATGCCACCCTCGGGACCGTGGTTGGTCGGGGGTGGCCAGTGTCGAGGGAATGAGGTGGCAGGGATTGATAATCCTCCCAGACAACTGCCAGGCAGGCGCCCAAGGCCGATGAGGGGTGGCATTCGGGGCTGGTTGGCTACCATCCTGTTTGTTTCCTGGCAAATAAGCGCGGGCGTTCAACCACAAACAAAGCCTGCCGCGCGGGCTCCGTCGAGATACCCAAGGGCGGTTCCCATGCCGCCGAGCTAGCAAGAGTCGGGCGTTTCTGCGAGAACGCACCCGTCCTGGACCAGGATGCTGTTGATGAGACCCGAGGCATGCATTGATTGCGTGTCGCCTCTCGCTTGCTTTTCCCCTTCAACGCCACCGGTCTGGCCTCTGTGGCGTGCCTCTCGCACAAGGCCCGAGATCGGTTCAAGGCCCTGGCGGCCCGATGTTTCGATCCTTGGCTTTTCTCAGCACCATCAGCCATCAGTATGAGGCTTGCGGCACGCCGCACAGAGCTGAGACTGGGCTTGTCGATTGCGATCTCGGTGCCACGCGATCTAGAACCCAAGAAGGCCTGGCAACTCCTGGGCGACACGCCTCGACCTGTCGTCCGCCTGTTGTTGATCCACAGAAAAACTCTGCTGTCGGCTGGCACACGAACGTCAGCCGGGCCGAGGGAAAAGTCATTCGAGTTTCCGCCAACCTTGGCCGGTTCATCAATGGCAAACGCGCCAGGGGCTTTCTCCTATCGGGCCTGCGGGACAAGGGGGGCAAGCTAGGGCAAACTAGAGGGGGGGCTCAAGTCGAAAGGCCTCCCTGTGGCTTGCCATTCTCGATTAGCCTGACGGATAATCACATCTACGTGTCACCACATTCCTGACGAGGCGTTCGAGAACCGAACCCCTGTTATTTAGTAAGAACCCGGCAAGGCGGCAGGGGGGCCCCGAGGCGACTGCCGAAGAAACCCTGTTTGGTCGTTGCCGGCATTCCCCATTGGCCAGGCCAGAGTAGGTTAGCCTCCAGGTTTGCAACGAAGAGGCTGGCTCGCAAAACAAGCACAAAATGCCGCGAAGGCGACGCGAGGCTTGAACCAGGATTGCGCCAACCCAAGTGGTCGGGAGCTGAGGCCTGAGGACAAATCAGGCAGCTTTTGGCTGAGCTGAGGAGCCAAGCCTGCATGACCGTGGGTCGGTCCAGAACCTTGAAGGGGCGTCTTCCTTTTCCCACTGGCCAGCCGCGTTCCAAGGGTGATTACCTAACGACAGGCCGCCAGGCACCAGAGAGCAGGCCGTGCCGATGGGCCGTGTGCATGGCACAGGATGGCTTCGCGTGCTGATTCGGTGCACGGCACGTGCAGGGCAGGGCCGGAGGCCGGGAGCAATCTACCGCATTGACGAGGTGGATGTATCCACATGCCGGAAAGGAGAGACGGCGCGGCCATGGCGGCCTGACCGACATCGTGGCCGAGGAGCTTGGCCAGACTACCTACGCCCGGTGGCGGATCCCTCCCACCAACTGAAAAAAAAATCCGAACCGCAAAATGCTTTTCCCCACCCAAACTCTATGGCAAAAAAAGGTCAAAACAAACTTAATCAATTTAATTGCAACATAACAAAGCACCATAACACGCCCAAAACAACACGGATTCTTTCGCCAATAATAAAAAGCGAAAGCAAAATGACTGCCCGTTAATTTGCATATAAATTACAATTATTGCTTTTTTTGGTGGTGCTAATTGACTTTGAAATGGGTGCCCCTTTTTGCGGTTCGGATTTTTTTTTTCAGTTGGTGCCTCCATAAGACAACTTTGGCTCCTGAGCCGTTCCGATTCGACAGAGTGGTGCCCCTGGATACCAGCAATCCAGCCAACCGACCGGGGCTTGGTCCTGCTCTTGGTCTCCCTGGGGACCGCGTATTGTGTTGTACATTTCGTTGAATAATCATTGTGAAATGGCTAAAGTCCGTATGCAAATTACGCGCGCGCACTTGTTGTCTATGGCTGCGCAGATCACGGCCCGGACAGCGCGCGTGCTACCACGGAGGGAGAGACACGCCCCCTACCCCAGAAGGCCGGATTTTGATGGCGCCCCATGCACTTCATTCCTCCGGCTCGGCTGCTTGGCGAGACGAGGCTGGCCTTCTTTTCCGCCCTTTCGTTCCTAGTGGGCACTTGCGGAATGGGAGCACTATGGAAGCAAGATTAACGAAGCATGACGAGGGGCGGTAAGCAAACAAACAAGCCACTGTCACATCCTGGAACACTGTTTAATAGAACAATCTCTGGTTCACTTGTCTTGCCCTGTCATGACAACTCACGGGAGAGCCAAGAGCTCTAGAACCATGGCAAGAGCCGCACTGGCAGCTCTCTCTGCCCACAAGGTTCCACGCCAACTACCGTTTGCTGGGTCTGGGATAGATTGATGTCAGTCAGTGGATGGTGACTCACGCCCGAGCGGAAGCCAATCCGGTTGATATGAAACAAGTCCTTTCCTTTTTTTCTTTTTTTCTTTTTTTCCTTTACTGGACTGTGCCATTGGACAACCCTTTTGTTATTTTAATTTTGTATTTTTTTTCCTCTTTTGGCCCCAGCCAGCCCTGTCTTGGGTCAATGCTCTCAGCTGGGATATTTTTGGTTTTTACGGCAGTGGGTCCGCTGTTCCGGCTTTGTGGCTGTGGATCCAGGGGCCCAAGATCCAAGTTTCTGGATGTGTCAAACAGCCTTTCTAACATGGTCCCTCTTCTCCATTTGGGATGGTTAAAGAATAGAAAAGAAAACAAAAAATGTTTGTTTTATGAATGAGATGAGATGAGATGAGATGGGAGAAAAAAGGCCCCGATTGTGGCGATGGGAATCTTGCATTCTGGCATAATGGTAGATGTGGCTATGGATCTAAAATCTGCCTGCCAGCAGTTTGACGTTGGCATGTTGCCTCGTCAATGCTGGTGATGCCCGATGGGGAGACTTTGACAAACAATAGGGCGGGCCGAACATAAAAGCACGCACAACACACACACGCACACGCACATACCCGTGCCACCTCAGGCAGCAAGAAAAGAACCCAAAAGCACAGGACACATACCGCACCATCATGTTCCAGAACCAGACCCCTCCCCCCCCTCCTGCCATCGTGGCCAGAAGTGTGGGTTCAAAAACCCATTCTCGGGCTCCCGGATGGGAGGGCAAGAGGGGCCGTGGGCGATGCTGGGGGCCAGTAGGAACCGAGCCCGGCTGGCCGCGGTCAAAGGGGGACAGCGAAAAGGGCCCGTAGGGGAAGAGAATGGGAGAGATGGGCCCTTTTTTTTTTTTCGTTGGTGGTTCGGGTCGAGATGCTCGAGTCGATGATGGGGCCGCGAGATCCACATCGCGGGACGCTGGGTTGCCAAAGTGGGGAGGAAAATGATTCACAGAGACAAAAAAAGAAGAGAAAAAAATTGTTCTAGAAAAAAAAGGACACGAGAGAAAAATAGAGATAAAACAAATATTATTATATCGAAAGCAAAAACAAAAAAGCCATCGTCAATCCCTGGGAATGTGGATAGGGGGGTGAGCCGAACACGATGGAGTCGCGACCCAGCCGTTTGAACCACACACTCCCCGAGGTACGACAGCTTCTATCCCTCCTCAGCTGGCTCCACGATGCCTGGGAAATAGTTATGCTGCACAGCAGGCATGTAGGCAGGTAGTGCGCTGTGTGCGCATTGCACTGGCTGCACGAACAAACACGCCAAGTAGGGTGACAACAACAACAACAACAACCAGTAGATGTTGCCATGCGCGCGCCTCGGATGGAGGGGGGGATCGGCGAGAGTGAAAAAGGAAGGACCAGCCGGAAGATGCGAGGCTCAGTGCCCTAAGACGCTAGGGGGTAGGTAAGGCGGGAGGAATGACGTGGTCAGGCTGGGATGGGTCTGGCTTTCATGCAATAAAGGTTGGCAAATGGTGCCCGTGGATGAACAAGGACGGCGCGAGGGACGTATCTGGCCTCTCTGGTTATGTATGCGCATCGGGGGATTCCACCTCTGCGTCTATATGTCGTCGACGTGCATGGACAACTGTTCGTGGACTTGGCCGCCTTACTCCACAGCTCTCGTATTCCAAAAGTCTCGCGTACATGGCCAGGATGCCGGTGGCCCTCTACTATGTCGACACCTCTCTTCTGGACCTTTTCAGAATGCAAACGGCTTTTGTTATCTCAGAATCTCCCTCACGGGCTTGCCGTGATGCAGACGGCAGCACCAAGTCTGCTCTCGGCAAGGGGCAAGCACATGGCAGAAACCAAGGGACGTATATCGATAGCATGATAATATGTATGATTGTTTGAGCTGCTGACTGGCCAACATGGCCTCCAGTCCTGTCTGATGCACTGCCAGCACTTCGGCACGGCAGCCGACCCGACCTCCCCTCTCTAGGTTTTGTCTAACGCGAAGCCGCCGCAAGGCATCGAAAAGGCCCAACAAACCATTATCTCCATAACCCATAAACGCCAATACCAATGCCACGCCATGTTGAAAAATCCCAGCAAATCAGGCTTCCGTCGCCACCCAAACACCCTTGATCGTCATACTACAGGGCCGTGCTTCTGGCTCCTCATACCCTTACCCCAACACTGACCAACGCCGCAAGCGCCTCAGCTCTCGAGCCAGTCGAGGAATTCGGGCGTGAAGTAGCTCACGACAATGGTGGCGCCGGCCCTAAGGATGCCCTCGGTGGACTCAAAGGCCATGGTCTTGAGGTCAAAGACGCCGGCCTTGGCGGCGGCGTGGATCATGGCGTACTCGCCGCTGACCTGGTAGGCGGCCACGGGCAGGTCCTTGCCCAGCTCCTTCGCGTCACTGATAATGTCGAGGTACTGGCCGGCGGGCTTGACCATGATGACGTCGGCGCCCTCGTTGATGTCGCGCACGATGGCGCGGCGGGCCAGGCCCCGGCCGCCGTGGGGCAGCTGGTAGCACTTGCGGTCGCCAAACGACGGGGCCGAGCCGGCGGCGTCGCGGAAGGGCCCGTAAAGGCAGCCCGAGAACTTTGCCGCGTACGACATGAGCAGGGTGCGGTGGGCGATGCCGTCCTCGATGAGCTTGAGCTTGATGGCGCGGATGCGGCCGTCGTTCATGTCCGACGGCGCGACGCAGTGGGCGCCAGCGCGGGCGTAGGCCACGGCCACGTCCGAGATGCGGTCGACCGAGAGCGTGTTGTTGAGGGAGCCGTCGTCGCGCAGGATGCCGCAGTGGCCGTGCGACGTGTACTCGCACAGGCACACGTCGGCCACCACGAAGAGCTGCGGGAAGCGTTGGCGGATGGCGCGGATGCTGCGCATCACGGGGCCCTCGGGGTCGTCGGCCGACGTGCCCAGCGCGTCCTTGCTGCCGGGCCGCATGGGCACGCCGAACAGGATGACGGACCGGAGGCCCTTGTGCACCAGCGGCTCGAGGAAGGCCATGGTTTTGTTGATGCCACGGCGGTACTGGTCCGGAAGCGACGGGATCAGGACCTCCTCGTCGTCCAGATCCGAGACGAAAAGGGGGTAGATGAGCATGGACTGCGCGAGATGACATGTTAGTCGGGCGGCCTGTGGAACAAGCAGGTAGCAGGTATACGGGTATAACAGACACTACTGACCTTTGTGAGCTGCCTTTCGGCCTGCCACGACCGGGCGAGCGGATGGCTGTAGCCGCCATGGAGCTGACTGGAGATATCGCCGGCGATGCTGACGCTGGTGGCGGCGGTGCTGGTGTACGACATGGCACGCGAGATGTGCGAGGTGCGCGACGCGCCGTCGTCAATGGTCGAGGCGGCGGCCGAGGCGCCTCCGCGGCGGAGGGACAGATCCTGCACGAGGCTTGAGAACGACATTGCCGAGGACGCAGGGGAGTGGTGGAGCCTCAAGGTGGTCTGGGCTTGCGATGCGAACCGGCTGGCGGTGTTTGTACGAGATGAAGAATCACGACGAGAAGGGCCACGGTCAGAGGTGACGGTAAGCTTCAGTGTCGGAGGGGACTTCTTCTTTAAGGGTCTTGGAAAAAAAAGGGAAGGTACGGCTGGAGAAAAAGGTCGGCAGGTGGGAAGGGTTGGAGTTTTGGTGGCAACCTTCGGTCTGTCCCAATTGCTGGTGGGGCAGGTCGGGATAGCCGATTGACCGCTGCGGGCTGTGAATTGAGCCGGGGTTTCTTTGCTCGTGAGACCTTGAATCTGATTTCCGTTTATGTGGATTTGAATTCGACGGGTGAGATGCCCCTGTACTACCGTCACACAAGACGTCTGCCGTGAGACGTGAGATATTTGTATTATTTCATTGACACGGCTGAACAAGATCAAAAAATGAATTAAAAAAATGGTCTCCTGTCAGCGCTCCGACCCGAGGTCCGTGGCGGACTGCCTCCAAGCCAAGAAAATCCTGGTAGGGTGGGCCGTCTGGGGGTCTCCGCGGGAGTCGCATTGTCCAATCGGAGTCGCAGGGTTTCGAATACAACAAAAAGAAGCTCCGACTCCGAGCACCCGACGAGGCTACTGTGTAAGCGACCGGGGAAAGGAGCGGGTTTACTTGCCGAGCGAAAGTCAAGCCGAAAGCCCGGGGTCCGCTGGCTGTCAAATCACTCGCCGAGAGACGGTGAACAAGAAAGAGGACGGCACTTTGCGCCACCATATATTATACATGTACATACATTGACAGGTAGGGAACAGGAGATTCCCTTGCCTCGCCTACGAATCCGGGTTTCGAGCCGGTTCCTTCGTCTTCTTGTATTGAAGATTCAGCCCATTCCAGCCATCAAACTCGAACGGCTGGCCGCCGCCTGTTGGAACGGGTGCCTGCGGCATCGCCTGCCAATCGTCAATCGGAGGCGTGGCTTCGGCAATCGGAGGCGTGGGCTCGTCGGTCAACTCCTTATACATGTTGTCAAACTCGGCTGCCACCGGGTCCGAAAGCCATTCTAGGTCCTTGCCAGCATGGGGGTCGCCCGCCCCGACGTACGGGTGCATCTCCCGCTTGGACATGAAGCTCTCCAACATGTCGAGCGCCACCTCCTTGTTACGCAGCGACCCGAACGCGTTGATGGTGAACCTGTCAGCCTCGAACCCGGCCTCCTCCATCTTCCGCAGCGTGTCCACCGTCCGCTCGGCGTTTTGCATGCGTGCGTGCCCGCGCACTTGGATGTTCCAGGTCGCCTGATTCGGCTCGATGCCGTACGACTGCATCTGTCTGAGGTGCCTTGCCGCCTGCATAAAATCTCCGTTTCTGAGGATTGCGTCCAAAACTATGTTCCAGGAGTGCTTGTCCGGCCTCGGGCGTCGAGGGGTCTCGTATTCACTGGTCTCGACGTGTGCCTGCAAAGGCGTGGGGTTGTCCTCGAGCAGGCTCCTCATCACGTTGAAGACAGCCGGCCGGGACGTGGACGAATAGCTCAAAGACAGCATAATCGTGTTGTACACCACCGCCCTATCCCCTTCGACTAGAGCTAGCACGGCGGGGTGGCCGCGCTTGAGCAGCTCATCAAAGCGCGCGTAAAAGGCGAGGACCTCGTTGGGCTCCGGGAGGCTCCTGATATAGCCAACCAGCATTATCCTCAGCGTGGTCGACTTGGGCGTCTGTCGGCGGTCGACAAAGCGTGGAATGCCGTTGATAACCGCCCCTAGCTCCGAGTCGATGTCTAGCGCATCCACGTCCAAGAGGTCTCCCAGGTCCTTATCGCAAATCGCATGCAGCGGTTGAGGGTCGAATATCTTGCACAAGGCCGCCATCAACAGTTGGAATCGCGTAGGGGCCCTCTCTGCCAGCCTAGTTCCTGGTTGGCGCCAATGTAGAATTGTGTACAGAAGCAGGTTCCAGCCATACTCCTCAAGGATGGGCGTCTTGCCGGTGAGCGCCAGTGCCTGGACGACCGAATCCAAGTTGTTCGCTTTGGCCGAGGCTGCGATCATGACCTGGATCAAGATCGAATCGGGGATGATGCCCTGCTCCTCCATGTTGCGGTAGACCATCCACGCTGTCTCAAGCTCGCCACCAAATGTCAGACTCTGAATGAGGGCAGTATAAGTTATCCTGTTGGGTCTCGACCCGAGCGCCAGCAAACGTTGCATGAGTTCTGCCGGCCTGTGGTTCGTGGTACCGTCGGTCCGGTCTGACAGTAGCAGGGTGGCAATCCGTCGCCCGGGGCCGTTGTTGATGTTGTAGCGGCCGCCTCTCTTTTGCAGTTGCTCTAGAATGAGCAACGCCTCCCTCTTGGCCTCCATCGTCCTGCCTCCCGCCAGCCGGCTCACAAGGTGCTGCAGAGTCTGTCCTGAGAGGAGATGGTCGTAGTTCTGGAGGTCATGATAGAGCGCCAAGATGCCTGGCTGGTCACCCTTTTCGATGACTTTGAAGAGAGTATCTTGATCCAGCCTGACGTATTCCGGCCACGTGTTTCTGAGGACTGTGCGGACGCACGAGAGCGCAGATGGCATGTCCATGTTCTGGAAGTTGGCGTGTGCCTGGTTGGCAATCTGACGTAGAATGTCCTCTAGCACAAAGTGAGGAGGTGGCGGCTGGGTGATGGGGAGCAGCGCCTCGATCACCATTGGTATCTTTTCGGGCACCGACTTGGTCGCCAAGATCACTTGGTTGATGAACTCGTGGACCCGTTCATTCTCAGGAACCTTCTTCCAGGCTGCCGACATCTCCTTGGCAGTATCAAGTTTGAGGAGGTCCGACAGGGGCTCATCTTGCTTCCCATAGCGCCCGACAGAACTGTGCGCCCTTCTCATCGCTTTCTTCCAGCGATTGAACACCGTCTTCATCGTGTCATCACCCACCATCCGGATCTCAGGGATCTCCCCTTCAGGAGTGGGCCTCTCGTCCAAACGGTGTGGCACACGCGCCGCCTGGCGGTGGACCCGCACCTCCCGTAGATAGCGCTGCTTCCAGGCCTTCCAATCTTTTGTGAGCGGCCTGGGAGGAGGTGGTGGGTTTTTGGTAAAGGGGTTTTTGATTTTCGGGCTCGGGCTAGGCGGTAACCCATCGTATTCCCAGACGTAAGAAATGTCGTTGATGGTAGAGGACGCTTCGTTCTCCTCGGGCTCGGGCTCAGGCGCCCAGTCTATCTTCTTGGACAGGCCGCCACCGACCCCCCTTAGGGGCTCGTGGGGATATGCTGTCTGTTGGCGAGTGACATGTGCGGCGGATTGTGTGGTGCTACGGGGTCTCCTAGGTGGTGTGTCGTTCTTTAGAGATTTATCGAGTACGGTTACAAAGACGTAGGTCTGTACCCGTAGCGATAGGTGGCCGAGGGCTATGGGCCGGCGGGCAAAGAGAGAAGGCGGGGGGAGGAGGGTGCGCCATTGTTGCATGTGACCTAGGTTCGCATAGATCATGGGTGCGCTGGTTGGCGATGCGCCGGCGGGAGGATAAGCATGAAAAGAGGGCAGCTAGTCGTAAGAAGTGATGCAGGGGTCGAGACTGGCGCGGTCTAGTTTGCGCGTCGATGGCCGAGATTTGCGGATATCAAAGGCGGGAGTTTATGGCGGGCAGTTGGCGGGCCCCAAGCAGTGAGTGGGTGGTTGAACGAGCCTGGTCGCATTTCACAAAAATTTCCGCCGGGGCCTTTATCGATAAGCACTGACGAAGTCCCTTTTCCGCCCTGCAGTGGCTGGCTACGGTGGCTGGCTGCACTGGTGAGCGCCCAGGGTCTTCAACAGACAGATGCGCGATCTGCCAAATCCGAAAAAGCACACAGTACCAGACGGAAACAAGCATAGATCCCCGAAGAAGACACGACCTCTGGCTCTCTCTGCCGCATAGAAACCTGGGACACCACAGCCCGGCACCGCAGCCTAGCGCTACCACCACTGGACCGTGCGGCGCTGTCTTCTCGCCGCCCTCGCTCCAACTACCGCCCCCAAGACCAAAACAGCCAGCCGCCCGCCCCCTACGCACAGCACCGACAATGTCCTCACACGCCTCATTAAGTGCCGCGGCCGACGAGCGCAAGGCCCGCCTGGCCAAGCTCAAGTCCCTCAAGCGCAAGCAGCCCGACGAGGACGGCGGCGGTCCGGAGCGCGACGACGCGGACGAGGCCGGCCAGACGCGAAAAACGACCACGGCCTCCGTCCCCGACGACCGGCAGGAGGAGCGCGGTGCGCCGAGCCCGCCCGAGGCGGAGGTGGCGAGGCTGCACCTGTCCGGGCGCAACTACGACCCGGAGACGCGGGGCCCCAGGCTCGGGTTCGAGCACGCGCCGACGGCGGGCATGGACGGGCCGACGTTGGAGGAGCAGGCGGCCGAGGTCGAGGCCGAGGCGCGGCGGGCCGCGCGCGAGGACGAGGCCGCCGACAAAGGGATCGACCTGTTCAAGCTGCAGCCCAAGAAGCCCAACTGGGACCTCAAGCGCGAGCTGGACCGCAAGATGGAGGTGCTCAACGTCCGCACCGACAACGCCATTGCGAAGCTGGTGCGCGAGCGCCTCGCCGCCCAAAAGGCCGCCGCCTCGGGTGCTGCTGGCGCGAGCGCGTCGGCCGAGGGGGGCGGCGAACTCGAGGGCGCGGCCTTGGTCGAGGGCCTAAGGTTGCGGGAGCAGGAGGAGGAAGAGGAGAGGAGGAAGGACAAGGAAGCAGACGACATGGTGTAAGGTGTGCGAGCTGTGGGATCACGACGATTATAATCACGGAAAGGCATATCAGCGCATGGCTTGTTATAGCTTTATTATTTCTTTCTGGGGGTTTATGTCACCCAACCACGTTATCATTCTGTTTGTGGTGTACGAGTAAAAGTAAAACAAAATACTAGATGCCAATTGATACCCATTTGCCTTGGTATTCATCGCAACACACCGTGACTAGTTTCGACCATTCCCCGCTTGCGTTAACGCCCGTCTCTTACTGAAAGGACTCAGGCTACGCTGCCGCGGCGGTGATTTCGGAGGAGGCGCCCTCCGCGGAGGCGAGCCTCGCCAGTCATCACGCTCGTCGCGTGGATCCCTCCGATCCCTATACTGGCGGCCGACGGGCTCTCCATCCTGTCCGCCCCTAGTATCAACGGGGGTGCCCCGTCCCGGAGACCGAGAGTCGCGCCGGCGGGCCTCCCGGACCCTCGCCGGCTGAACATGGCCATTCCGATAGCCTCCGCGCGACTGGCGGGTCCTCGGCCCCTCGTCGGAAGAGTAGTGGCCGCCGCCCTGCCGGGACCCGGGTTCGGGCGCCCTGGGAGGGGAGAGCGACCGTCGCTCGCTGCCCCTTGACAGGCTCCGATCCCTCCTAGCGCTACGGCTGCTCCCCCTAGATGCGCTGCGGTACTCGCGTCTCTGGTCGTCCCGCTGTGCGGGCCTTGGAGAGGGAGACCGGCTCACGTCGCTGCTAGAGTAGCTCCGGGCAGAGCGCGGGGACCGAGAGCGTCTCCTTGACGACCGAGGCCTGTCGCGCTCTGGAGAGATGGAGGCTCGCCTTGGCGGCGGCGACGCCGACCGCGCAGGGGCCGAAGAGACAGAATCGTGTGAGCGTGACCTCCGCCGCCGAGATGTGCGACGACCCCTACGGCGATCAGCCCTGGCCGCGCCGCCATCGTCAGACTCGGAGCCCGAGTCGGAGTCCTGTCGGGACTTTAGGTCCTTCTCCCTTTGGGCAGCCTTCTTGGCCAGCTCAGCATCGGCGACGCCGGTCCTGCACCCAACACGTAGTCAGACTCGCCAAAAAAAAAAAAAAAACGCACACATGCTGTATGCTCACAACGTGATTGCGGCGGGTGGGACGTACTTCTTCTGCAACACATCAGGGGCGTCGTTGGTCAGCTCAGGCCGGAGCTTTGGGTTTAGCAGCTGCTGGGTGCGTGACGGGCGAGGCACGTAGGGGCGCTCCTGAGGCGCGGCCTTGCACTCGTACGAATAGTGGCGTTCTGGGGGAGTTAGCTTTTAGTGCAAACGGGCGGCACGGCGGTGCACACTTATCTCGCTTCAGGCATTTCTGGCACTGCACGCTGGCCGGCGTCGCCTTGCTGGGGCCGCCGCGTCCACGGCGGGCGTACATATCTGCTGTTTCTGTGGTGCTCGACGAGTGCTGGGCACCGGGCTGACGGGCCGGCGGTCAAGATCGGGTCTCGGGCGCAGCGATCGGGCGCAGCTTTGACGAGAACCAACCAACCAGTCTGGCTGATGGAGAACTCCACCGTCGGGGCTGGGCTGGGCTGACGGCGACCTGAGTAGTCTGTTGGGGGTTTGACAAGAGGTGCAGAAATGGAAAAGCGCTGGCCAGGGACAAGGCGAGCCTTCAGCCACGCGAGACAGAAAATGCAGCAAATGGAGCGGATTCTTGGCTTGCTCTGCGAATGCAGGGCAAAGGGGCAAGCTTGCGTCCAGGCGTCGGGGGTGGTGGTCAGCTGTGAACGCGTGGTGTTGGTGACGTCTGGGGATGCCACGTGACTTTTCCGCTCCTCCTCTTTTTTTTTGTCTTTTTCTCTGGCACTTCAGGCGGCTGCCGAACAGGGATGCTGCTGTGAGTGGGGTTTGCCGAGCGGCTCGATTTTGGTGGGTTACTTTCCTGGCTCCCAAGCACGCAGAAAGACATTGAGGCCCGCCCCGTCTCTGCCACCACCTCCAAAATATTTCCCACGCATTCCACAGTCCCTGCGCAACCACCAAACGAGGCTTTTGCAGGGCCTGCGATATCCCCCCACGTGGAGGAGAGTGAATCGGGGATGGACACCGATCAGGCCTGACACTTGACCGAATTTTGGCTTCTCGACCGCCCGTCGTATCTGCATCTGCGCCCCCCTGCGGCAGACCAGACCCTCCCTCTGCAGGCCTCTGCTGCCCTCTTGCGCATCCGCGCGTCGGCACGCCCTCGACCTCAGCCCCAACCAGGCCAGCACCCATCACCGGCTTCCTCTCCATCGCCAGAGCGGGACACAAGACCCGGCATTGCGTCAGAATCTCTGCAGTAAGGCAACCGCCCACTCTCGATTGCCCGTCTTCCTATGCCTGCCTGCCTGCCTGCCTGCCTGCCTGTCTGCCTGCCTGTCTGCCTGCCTTGCCTGTGCAACCAAGCCGACGCCCGCCTTTCCCGCCAACCCCCAAAGCCACGACCACTGCTCACCCCTCCACCCTCCAACGCCAGCGCGCATCAGCCCAACACCCCATCGCACCCCTTCCTTCCTCAGCCCGCCCCCGCGACGCAGCCCTGCGGCCCTGGCCCGGCCCGACCTGCTTTCCCCTGTCCCAAGCCTGACCGTAGACTTACTTACCTTGGTGCTTCCCAGTCACCTTCCTGTGGCCCCCTCGTCTCCCGCCTCTGACAAGAGCGACCCTGACCGGATCGCAAGCCACCCCGGCCGAATCAAAAAGGCGCCCCTTGTCCCGTCCACCCGCGCCATTCGACCTCGTCGCGATCAGCCTGGAGGATACCCCGAGACAGTCTTTCGTCCGTTATCATGGCTACAAGCTCACGACTACAATGATTGCCTGTTCCAACCTTCCTCCGCGGACCGTCTCGATCCATCATCTTCTCTCTTGACTTTCTCACGACTCGTTCTATAGACCTCTTTTGCTTCGTGGTCGCCCCGCTTCTCAACCTTCACTAGCCTGCCAGGCGCCTTTTGTCGACTTTTCGTCCCGGGTGTTTTATCTTGTTTTATTTTTCTCGTCACATCCGGTCTTGGCGGGATCGGCACTCAAATCTCGTCCCCGAGCAACCTAGACATGATGTCTATGCCTGCACCTCCAGCCATGTCAGGCATGAAGAAACTCTCGTTTGCAAAGGTATGTCAAGCCCCGATTTCACTCCAGAGCCAAGCGGCTCCATCTGGCTTGGTGTATGGGGTATGGGGAAGTCCACTGCTAAGTCGCTGTACAGGTCGCAGCATCGGCGTCCAAGGAAGGTGGGCCTGGGCATCGGAAGGCCGGGCACACAGCTGCAAAGAGCCCTCTGGGCCCAAAGGCGGCGGCCCCCTTGCCGAACAACGTCGCCAACCCGAATAAAGATATGAGATCACAGGCCGCGCAGAACGCAACAGGCGCGGCGTCACGGTCGGCCACGACTGATCGGTCTGCCGAAAGCAAAGTGGTGCAAGGACTGAGGGACTTGAAGCTGGAGATGAAGCCCCCGAACCTTGTCGTCAACGGCTCAAGCTCAACTTCTACTGAGCAGTCCAGCAAGACAGCCACCAGTCAGACCCCGTCAGATGACGTCTCCCAAAAGGCAGACTCGAGCTCTGAGCTCGGCACGAAACCGCCGAGTCTGGACGGCAAGAGCATCACCTCCGGGACGACCTTCAACGTGCTGGACGAGAAGGAGTCCCTGCGTCCTGACGACAGCGCCAGCGTGAAGGCGGCGGCCGACGAGGATGATGCCTTCTCCATCCGTGGTTCCCTCATTGCGAACTCGCGCGTGGGGTCGGACGTTGCTGGTCGCTTCCGCAACATCCAAATCGGAGACATGCCACCGAGAGTCGTCGTGGCCCATGCCCTGGCCTCCCCCAACGTGCAGGGGACCATGACTCCAGAGAGCGCCACCTCTGAGCAGCCGCCGGCCGCGAACGTCACCGTCCCGCTGGCGACGGCCCCCATCAGCCAAGAGGTGTTGAGTGGGAATGGGTTTTACAGCCAGAACCCCGATGAAAAGCTCCTCGAGGCCATGAAGTCTCAAAAAGATCGCCTCTTCCTGTTGAGACTGGAGAACCAAGTGATTGAGTTTGTGCAGGATTCCAAGTGAGTTCACTCCACGCCCGCCCCGTTGCTGATGCGCAACTAGTATCGGCAGCCAAGCAGCTCTAACATACCCCAAAAAACCGCAGAGAGCCTTTCATGGACCTTCCACCCTGCAACTCATTTTGCAGGCTGTTGACCCACAAGCTCGCCGACTACTATCACATGACACACTCTTTTGAGGCGGTTGCTGGTGCCGTTCGGATCTACCGTACCCCATTTTGTCGCGTGCCGCCCTCGCTCCAGAGCATCGCCCCAGCCAGTGAATCGACGAGCAGCACGCCGCCCTTAGTCATGCTGCCCAGGAAAATCATGCGCCGTGGCGAAGAGGGCGATTCTGCCCCCGTCAGTGCAGGCGCCTCCAAGGCCACGTCCGAGGATGGCAGTGATCTGAAAGACAAGGGAGGCTCCGCAAATCTCAAGTACGTGTTTGACTAATGATTTATCTCCCTGTGTGTGGTGCGGGCCAGTCCAAGTGCTAACCTAGCTTTCAGGTTGACCCGTGAGGAACGAGAAGAGGCCTACAACAAGGCAAGGCTGAGAATCTTCGGCACGACAGCACAGACGGAGAATCCAAGTCTAGGTATGCCAATGTGCAACCGGTCTGATAAGGCCATCGCGTGCGTCACCGTCACTAACATATGTCCACCTCGTCTAGATAACGAGGACAGCACCGGGGTGTCTCGCGCTAGCTCCGTGTCTGCTAAGGACAAGTCCCTTGCAAACAAGCGGACCAAGGTCACTAAGCAGCGACGAGACGACTCCGAGGGCTTTGACTCGCGCTCACAGTACACCCCATACTACCACCCGCACCAGCCAATGTGGGCTCCGCAGTATGTCCCTGTGGGCAACGGCAGCGTTCAGTTCACCCCCCAGACACAGCCGCAACCGGCGTATGCACCAACATATGGGCCAGTAGTTGCCGGTCAGCAATACCCTTCGACTATGGTGCCAGCAAACAACTTCGCTCCCCAGTACAGCAACCAGCAGTCGGTAAGCGGAATGCACTCCTCCCGCCCAGCGTTTGCCAGTGGGCATCCGTTGGGACATGGGCTCACTAACATTGGCCAGAATCCCGTCCCACCCGCCGCCAGCCAGAGGTTTCCCCCGCCACCTGCCACCCAGCAGATGTCGGGCTACACTGTGCCACCAGTGCAGGTGCAACAGGTGCCGGTACAAGGCACCCCGCCGCAGTCGTGGCAGCAGCCACCGTTCAACGGTAACCAAACACCATATCAGGCGAGGGCCACGCCTGTGGCCCCGGCAATGCCGCCGACAATGGTCATGGGGCCTAACGGGAATCCATACCCCTATGGCCAACTGCCTGTACACTCCAACCCTCATGACCCCAAGAGCCAACACCCTATCCCGGGCAGCTACAACCGACTCCACGCCTTTAACCCAAAGACGCAGTCTTTCGTCCCAGGCACCGGCATGCCGCCCATGCCGCCTGGTCCCCCGGTGCCTCCCGTCGGTCCCTATATTGGTCCCGCCCAGACACAGCAGGCGCCGGGCCCCATCGCGAACGCGCCGCCAATCCCGTACGGCGCGCCGCCAATCATGCCGCTTCCTCATCATCCTCCCCCGTATGGCCCGACCGGCGGAGGCTTCGGCATGATGAGGCAGGGCTCTAACAACAGCCTCCCACCGCAATATCACCACATGCCGCCCCATGCGCAGCAGCCACCCGTTGTTGCGCAACACCAGCACCAACATCCGCATCGGCAGCATCCCCGCCAGCACGTCCCGCCGCCTCATGCCGTACAGCCTCATCCGCATCAGGTCCACCACCAGTCGCCACGGGTGCCGACCAAGCCAGTATTGGCACAGGGGTCCACATCCGGGCCCGGCTTCAGCCATCTGCCAAACTATGGGAATCCCGCCACACTCCCTCAGAAGCCGTCTACTTAGAAAGAAGGGATTGCTGGGTCGTGCTTTGGGGGACGGCGGTTGCTGGCGGGTCGTGTTTTTGGCATGTTCTGATGCGGGATATACCGGCACGGGAGCAATATGCGGACAGGCGCACTGGTTGGCGGTGGCGGGAAGGGAATTCTCCAGTCACATTTTCAGCCCTTCTCCTCTACTTTTTTCAGAGAAGCAATGACGGCGTTTTGGGGAGATGATGGTTCATGGTTGTGCAAGAGTCAGCGATGCTGTGATGGCTGCTGACCAGAGGCCTTACAGAAAGGTACAGGTTGGGTTTGCATGCTTCGCATAGGCGAGCGAATACACCTAATGCGAATATTACTTGTCAACAAGCAAAGGAAGAAAGTCAAGTAGTAATGATGAACGATTTCATAGGTCGCCAGACTGTGTGAAGGGGATGTATATGCAGAACTCCAGCACTGCTGCCCAATTCCGTGCATATATGCATGGCATCATGGGGAATTGGCTTGCGTAACTCGTGTTATTCTAGCCTTTCTTTTTCATGAGCTGGCAATCACCAATGTGTTCCCCTCCAGGTCGCCTTGGTTCTCACGTGAGGAGAAGTACAAGCCTCGACCATGGCCCGAATGCCATAAAAAAAATACATGGAACAGCCCAACTAAAACCCTTGGATTCCCCCCTTGCGTGACCCGACCCATCCCCACCAACCGGCTCCGTAAATACACGGGAGACAGCCGCTAAACGTTGAGAGACATGTACCTCGAGGGGTTTTGTGTCCTGAGTTTTGTTCTCATGGTACTGGCAGCATGCGGATACGAAAAAAAAAAAACGATGAACAAAGAAAAGTGTGTGTTTTTTTTATTGCCAGGATGACTCGCCGGGAGACGGGCGCTTCTCCTAGTTGTCGTTCTCCCTGGGTTCCCTGGGCTCCCTCGGCTCGCGAGGTTCCCTCTGCTGGCCGCTGCCCCTGCCGCCACCCCTGCCGCCGCGACCTCCCCTACCGCCGCGGCCGCCACCTCCGCCGCGCTCCTGCTTGGCACCGTCCTCGCCCTCCTTCTTCTCCTCCTTATCGGCCAGGTTGGCGAGGGCCAGGCGCTGGGCGAGGTCGATCTGGGTGCGGATGGTGTTTGCGAGGTACGAGACCATGAGGACGTCCTGGATGTGGTTGTTGAAGTCGTGCTCGATGCTGGCGCTGTCCACCTTGGGGGCGAGCGAGAGGTTGTTCATGAGGTACTGGCCGATGGCGTGCGAGGACTCCCTCTCCTCGTCCAGGATGGAGCCGACGTAGTCGCTGACGTGATCGAGCGTGTCGAGCGTCTCCTCGAGCGACCGGGCCAGGGCCTCGATATCGGACAGGACGGGGGCGGAGCGCGACTCGGCGTCGCGGGCGGCCGACATGGCCTCGAGGGCGGCGCGGTCCGACTCGCCAGCGGGGGGCACGCGGTGCGGCACCTGGACGAAGAAGCACGACTCGGCGGCGCGCTCGGGGCTGGCGGCGGCGGGGGCGCTGATGTAGCAGCGCGGCTCGACCTCGGATCCGGGCTCGGTGCTAATGGTCAGGTGGACGGCCGGGTGCGGGTGGGTGCCCGTCTCGGGCGATGCGAAGAAGTTCTGGATCAGGGCGCTGAACGAGTTGAGCTCGTGCGACGTCGTGTACCAGCCCAGCAGCGCCTCGCGCGGGCTGGCCTTGAGCGTCAGGGCCAGCATGTTTTTCTGGTACTCGACGTCCACCTCGACCTGGTCCTCGTTCTCCGTGTGCGGGATGGCGAAGGTGCTGCGCACCTCGACCTCGGTGCCGTCCTCGCTGCGCACGCCCACCAGCGCGCCGATCACGCGCGTCGCCTGCGTGTCACGGTTGTCTCGGCGGACAGCATGGTCCAATATTGACAGGATGGCCTATGTGGTGAGACGGGCGTTAGTCTGGCAGGGCGGCATGGAGGATAAAGGTGGTCGTTGAGGCTGCGGTTGGTCCCGACGAGGAGAGGGCAGCAAGGGAAAAAAGGTGGGGCGAAGGAGAAGATGATGACCACAGCACCAAAGCCACAAGTGCAGTAGTAGGCGCAGTGAAGCACCCGGAAAGACAATAGCAGCAACGGCGACAACGTACCTGGGGCTGGATTGTGACTGTGAGGGGGGCGACGTTGGCGTTGAAGCCCACGGCCGAGGGCGCGAGGGGCTTGGAGAGGTGGAGGAAGTCGTCGCGATCTACGGCCATCTTGATGGTGGTTTGGCTAGAGTAGGGCGAGAGAAAGGAGGAAAGACGGGTAGAGTTGGCAAGGACAGACTCGAATCTGTGCGCCCGGGGTAGGTGGCCTTCTGGCGGGGACGTCACGGAGTCGGACGTGCTGGCTCGGCGGGATCGGGAGGGGTCGTCAAATTGATATTATTATGGCGATTCGCTGCGCCCGCATCCAAGGTGTGCGAATTTGCACACGAAATATTTTGGTGTTCGTCGTGGGGCGTGGGGGACCCAGCCCGCTTGTGTGCGCCGATAAGCGATAAGAGCTGACGCTCTCGGATGCGCACCTCTCGGGTGAGCCTACTAATCCAAGGGGTGGATCGCTGTCTCCACCTGTAATTTTTTCAGCAGTTGAGCTCCCTCACGCGTATAAGCCGACAAGTCCTGGTCCTTTCAAATCCTCAGAAAGGAAAAGCGTCGAAACTCCGGTATTGAGTTGATTTGATCTTTTTCGCTGCCTGGTATGGGTCCCAGAGGCCGCTTTGCTCCCCGAGGGGGCTCCCGGGGGCGTGGCAGCAGTCGCGGCAGAGGAGGCGGACGCGGTGGACGCGGTGGAAGGGGCGGCTCCAAAAACTTGATGGGCAAGCGCAGGTTTGACAGCTCGCGAGTCGAAGAAAAAAAAGAGTATGGTATCACTCCCCCAACAACCCAACCTCTTCTTCGTACAATGCCTGACATTTCCACAGAGATTCCGATGATGAGTCGTCACAAGATGAACCTCCATCTGAGGACGAAGAGTCAGGGGTAGGCTCTAATTCCGAGGGTGAGGAGGAGGAAGACAAGACTGTGGCCCGCCCATATGTGGCCCTGCTGCGCAGCTTGACCGAGGCGTCAGGCCCCAAGGCCAAGAGGAGGAAGTTGGACCACCCCGAAAAGGCAGGGGAACCCTCAAGTGAGGACGAGGGCAAGGACGTGGATGTCGTCGAGGAGACCGAGGAGGTCGAGGAGGATGATGACGAAGTCTCCGACTCGAACGACGAAGATACCCAGGATGGGTCCGACCCTTTCGCCTCGCACTTCGCCGCGCCCGATGAAGCTGCAGTGACCACGAGGCTAGCAGCCATGGCCAAGAACGAATGGGTCACCAAAAAGGTGGCAACCAAGCCATCTAGGATAATCATCATGGCACCCAAGACCAGCTCTGACGCTCAAGCTACTGCACTACCCTCAGTCCGAGACCCCTCGGCCCTCACCCTCAAACCCAAGCTCAAGGAAGCTATTACCACACAGCGACCAGAATTCGATGCCTCGGAGCAGGCGCTGGCTGCCCCTCTCTTCCAGTACCTCGACACTCTCTACTGCCAGCGGACAGTGGCAAACGGCGATAGTCTAAGACGCTTGGTCTGCCTTCACGCACTAAATCATATCTTTAAGTATGTGAAAGCAAGTCCGTTCCTGCGACCTCATTTTCACAGCCCATGTTGACGAGTGCTTCTCAAGGACCCGCGACCGAGTAATCAAGAACAGTGCCAAGCTCGCGCGAGAGGATGCAAATCCTGATCTTGAGCTGCGGGACCAAGGGTTCACGCGGCCCAAGGTGCTCATGCTGCTGCCAACACGGCAGTCATGCGCGAAGATGGTCGACATGATCTACTCTCTCGCCGATGTCGACCAGCAGGAGAACCGGAAGAGGTTCAACGACTCGTATGTGGAGAAGGAGGGCTTCAAGGACGACAAGCCTGCCGACTTCAAGGATCTGTTCGACGGCAACAGCGACGACATGTTCCGACTGGGCGTCAAGTTCACGCGCAAGACAATCAAGTACTTTTCTCAGTTTTACAGCTCGGATATCCTGATAGCTAGCCCCCTGGGCCTCCGCATGGCCATTGGTTCGACAGAGGAGAAGAATCTGGACTACGACTTCCTCAGCTCCATCGAGATGGTCATCGTCGACCAGGCGGACGCGATCCTGATGCAGAACTGGGAGCACGTCGAGTACATCTTTGAGCACATGAACCTGCAGCCCAAGGACGCCCACGGCTGCGACTTTAGCCGCGTGCGCAGCTGGTACCTGGACGGCCAGGCCAAGCACTTCCGCCAAAACGTGGTGCTCTCGGCCTTTAACACGCCCGAGCTGTCGGAGCTCCTCCACAGCCACTGCCACAACTGGGCCGGGCGCGCGCGCGTGCAGCCCGAGTACCAGGGACTGATCCAGCAGCTGGGCGGCGTCGTGCCGCACGCGCGGCAGACCTTTTCGCGCTTCGACGCGCCCTCGATCGCGGCCGAGCCCGACGCGCGGTTCGAGTACTTCACCAAGGCGGTGGTGCCCGCGCTCGCGCGGCGGGCGGCGTCGCGGGACGCGTCGGCGGGCGGCACGCTCGTCTTTGTGCCGTCGTACATGGACTTTGTGCGCGTGCGCAACTACTTCGCGGCCGACCCGGCGGCGGCGTCGCTCTCGTTCGGCGCCGTGTCGGACCACTCGGGCGTGGCCGAGACGTCGCGCGCGCGCTCGCACTTTTTGACGGGCCGCCACCGCGTCCTACTCTACACGGAGCGCGCACACCACTTCTGGCGCCACCGGATCAGGGGCGTTCGCCGCGTCGTCATGTACGGCCTGCCCGATAACCCGGCCTTCTACCGCGAGGTCGCAGGCGGCTACCTCGGCCGCAGCGAGCAGGATGGCATCATCGGGTCGGGCCAGGGCACCGTCCGGGTGCTGTTCTCGCGCTACGACGTCATGAAGTTGGAGCGCGTGGTCGGGACGCAGAGGGTGGGGAAGATGCTGACCGAGAAAGGGGATACGTTTGATTTTGTCTGAGCGATTCATCATTTCATCGTGTTCATAGCTCATGTAATGGCTGGTTGCTGTATATTTTTATACACTGGTATGGACTGATTGTGATGCATGGCCCATGTTTCCCCGGCGTGACTGGTGTACAAGGCATGATGGGGTGAAGAGCGACCTCGTTTACGCTCGCACCCCTTAACCCAACAATCGAAAAAGCCCTCTCAGGATTTTTGTTTCTTTGCTTCCATCCTATTCTCTTACGCAACAGACGCCCTCCTCCTGGTTTCCCGCGGGTTGTAGACGGTCCTGAAATCCCCCACCAGCGGGCGCTCCTTGGCCGGCTTCTCCGTGTCGAGGTCGACGAGGCGCAGGTCGCGGGCGGCGTCGGCGAGGCCGAGCTCGGCCGTGAGCTCCACCATCCTGTCAAACTCCTCCCTCCCGCCCTTGCGGTAGCGCGTGACCTTGCCGACGTTGCGCCTGGTCAGCTCCGAGTGGGCCCTGCCCAGCTCGCGGTCGCGGGCGACGGCGGCGGCCGTCATGGCGAAGCGCACGTCCATGGGCCCGTCGACGAGCTCCAGGATGGCCGAGGGCGCCTGGTCCCAGTCCTTCTTGGGCTCGGTCCGCAGCACGCGCGTGTAGCCGCCCGGCCGGTCGGCGTAGCGCTCGCGCAGCTCGCCGAAGACCTTGTCGATCAGGTCGTGTGGTGTCTGTTTTTTGTTGTTGTTATTGTTTTTTTTTTTATACAGGGGCATGGTCAGCAAGGGGACGGCAACCACGAGACGATGCAGATGGGAGGGGGCCAGCCACTAACGTATAGGATGCCCATCGCTAACCTCCTGCTCGTCTCGTTGTTCTTCTTGGCCAGCGTGATGAGCTTCTCGGCCAGGCGCTGGGCCTCCTTGGCCTTGGGGTACGTGGTCGTGATGGTCTCGTTCTTGACGAGGGACGTGACCAGGTTCCGCAGCAGGGCCTGCCGGTGCGCCGACGTCCGGCTCAGCGTCCGATATCTCATGAGCCCTCCCGCCATCTTTGTCTGTGCGGTTGCCGCGCCGGGGTCGTTCGCTGGGGGAGGGGGTGGAGCCGGTTCGGGGCCGGAAGGGGGAGGTGTCCGGGATGGGAGGGCCCGGTGTCAATTGGCCGCTGCTTGGTCGGCCGTCGAGCGTTCAATCGGGGGTTCGGGCGGGCGGGCGATGTCGTTGGCTGTCGGGTTTGGCGGCAGCGCCTGTGAGCTTTCACCTGACGTTCGGACCCGCGAAATTTTTGACTTGGCACAGGGTGGGCGAGTGGGCGACAAAATAATGACGGTTACAAGATTGTCGTTGAACAATCGCCTAGAACCAGAACATTTGTGAATAAAGCTATACAAAAGTTTACTGGGAGGTTTTCTTTCTCTATTCATTTCCTATTACTGTTTCGCTTATAACCCTTTTGCACCAAACCTCACCTCGGCCTGCTTCACATCCTGATTTTGCCTGTACCTCAGTCTCGGTATTTTTCTGTCGCCCAATTGCACCCTGGCCCCTGCGGCTCTGTCCTGTCGCCGCCCACCTTGGACTCCCGCATTTCGTCACCACGTCACTGCATTCCCGTGTCGGGCGCTAGCACATGCTTGCTTGAGCTTCACCAGCCCAGCCAAAGCTTCTCATCTTGATACTCTTTAGCACAACGACGCCTCGCACGGGTCGGCGAATTGACTTTTACCAGCGCAAACCGTGAGAACGGCCGGGCAGTCGTTTCGATGCCCCCCTGAACCCGAATCAATTGATCACGTCACTGCTGGGCCATTTCCCTAAGCCGCCAAAAAAAAAAGCGCACCGCCAAAAACCACTGGCGTCTAGCATCATCCATCCCACAAAATGGGGTTTGCAACGGGCTTCGTGAGTGACTTGTATACTTTTCCGGTTCCGTATCCAAATTAGCCCCCCTCGTCACCCGCTAACAAACCCTCCCCCTCTCGACAGACGGGCGGGGTGACGGTAACACTGTCGATAGCCTGCCTCAGCGTCTTGGCGCACCAGCGCAACCGGCTGGCCCAGGCCGAGGCCCTCCGCTCCCAGGCCTACCTGCTCGACACCCTCTCGACCCCGCAGGGGGCCCCGGGGGCGCGCGTGCTGGCGCCCCCGC